ATTTAGGAAGTTATTTGTGTTAAAATTTCTATTTGATTTGTAGATTTTTGAGCAACAACTGTAGTTTTGTTTTTTTTTTGAAATTTATTTTGAGAGAGAGAGAGGGAGAGAGAGAATCCCAAGCAGGCTCCGCCCTGTCAGCACAGATCCTGAGGTGGAGCTCCACCTGAGCTGTAACCAAGAGTCAGATGTTTAACTGACTGAGCTACCCAGGAGCCTCTAAACAACTGTAGTTTTAAATTACATACACCAGTGCTCTCACAGGAACCATGGTTGTTACGCTATTGCCAAAACAGAGAGATTCTGTCTACCAAAATGCAGTGTATTTTTTCCATTCCTGTTTATTTATTTCTATATAAAAGTTTTTTTTAAGTTTATTTAATTTTGAGAGAGACAGAGACAGTACAAGTGGAGTAGCAGAGAGAGAGGGAGAAAGAGAAAGAGAATCCCAAGTAGGCTCTGCACCATGAGCGCAGAGCCCGATGTGGGGCTTGAACCCCTGAACCGTGAGATCATGATCTGAGCTGAAACCAAGCGTCAGAGGCTTAACTGAGTGAGCCACCCAGGTGCCCCTTAAGATTTTTTTTTTAATGTTAATTTTTGAGAGAGAGAGAGAGACGGAATGTGAGCGGGGAAGGGGCCGAGGGAGAAGGAGACACAGAATCTGAAGCAGGCTCCAGGCTCTGAGCTGGCAGCACAGAGCCCACCTTGGGGCCCGAACCCATGAACGCTGAGATCATGACCTGTGCTGAAGTTGGACGCTTAACCAACTGAGTGACCCAGGCGCCCCTCCATTTCTCTTTAAAGTCTGGCTGTGGAATTGACTGCATCGTGGGCAACTTAGAGCAGCATGGGTTCATTTTCCTCTTGGACTAGTGGGTCACCGAAGTGTCTGTAGCTTTTTCAGTCGTAGGAAGCTTCTGACAGCGGGGACTGAAGACTGTCCTCTTCTTCCTGTCTGGACAGGGAGAGTGGCCATCTCCAAAGGGATGTGCTTGGTCATTTCTTTTGTGTGGTGGCTGATTAAGGTGCCCTGGGGGGGGGGGGGGAAGAATGGAGTGTTCTGGGTCTCTTTGTGGTGTATATTTCCTCATCTGCATGGTGAGGTTGCCACTTCTGGGGCTGCATCATAGACCACTCCAAGCTGTTTAAAACAGACATTTTGTTCCCACCATTAAGGTGATAATATGAAAACTTTTGTGTGCTGTTTTCTGTATTCACTGGATAATAAGCAGTTATGCACTTCTGGGGACAGTCAGCTCTCCCACAAATAGTTTCCATTCAAATTTCTCAGTGCTGGAAGAGCCCTTGCTAGTTAGCTTGTGAACACAGAACCACAAGGGAACAGGAACGAGAGGGGTCTATTTCAGATCCACTTAGAGCTGTGTTTCCCCTTACCTTGTCTTATTAAACCCTGGTTGGGTTGACACCATTCACTGCATGGTTAGGATTAAAGACCAAGTTGAAGCCTGCTCAGGATGCTGTGGATGTTGTCTGAGAGTACAGGAGAAAACAGGTCAGAAGGGTTTGTTTGGGGTGTGTATTCAGTTCTGGTCCTGAATATGTTTTCCTTTTAGATGGAAGAAAACGATAAAATCCCAAGTGTGAAGTTGTAAACATTGGGTTCCTTGGACTTACTTTTAAGAGTGATAAAAATTCTAGGGGAGCCTAGGTGGCTTAGTCGGTTAAGCGTCCAGCTTCAGCTCAGGTCATGA